TCTCTGTGTATTTTTCTAGATCTCTCCTCTATAAAATTTTCATATTTTTCTTGGGTTTTTATAGCCCCAGTTTACATGTAAAATAAAATAAAATTTACACTATTTTTGTTTGTGATGATAAGTTGATTTGGGACGTGGACGGTACTCAGGAGGCCATGGGAGTGGCGGCAATGTGGAACATTTGAGTCCACAGGCGTGGCGGCTAAGTTAGAACGAGGAGGGGCAGCTGGCTCCTACTGGACTCTGCTGGAATACTGCTGTGGTGGAGGGACAGCTGGTGTTCCTCTGGAAGTTGCTGGAATTGTCGATTAGAAGTGAAACATGGACAGACTATTGTTGAGGTAAAAATGGTGATTACAACTAGACTCTAATTTACAGTTTTTGGTGATATTTTAATAGTTTGATTCCTTATTGTGGTTCGTTTGCTGATGCATTCAGGTCTATTCACATCTATATTTTGTTCGAGTTTTTAGATGAATTTTTGACCTTTTCATTGTATGGTGCTTATATGATCTTAGGTGGTTCGTTTATTGTATTAATGATTATAGGAAATGTCCTAATTATGTATTTAGTTTACGTTTATTGTAAATTGTGATTGTAATTTTAGATTTTATTTCCTTTTTTAATAAAATTAGTGGCTTCTATTTGCATCAAAAAATATCTATGTCTCTTTAAAATATTTTTTCTCATAATTCTAAAGGTTAAGGCTTATTTTATATTTATGCAATCTAAATACTTTGTTATCAAGAATCTTTTTTTAAAAAATTCTTACATAAAATAAGTATTTATTAAATTAACCTTAAATATCATGTAATCTTCAAGCACTAGAATTATATCAAAACGTAACTTGATTATCAATTATAATTTGAGTCAAAGCATTAGAGACCCTTTTGATAGGGATGTAAATGAATTGGATTTGTCATGTTCGTTTAATTTTATAATATCATGTTCGTTTTGTTTATTTTTAAGGTGTTCGTGTTCGATTCTTTTAATGTTCACGAACATATTCGTTTATATATGTTGTTGCACACTCTTTTTTTGCTTTTTTATTTGCAAGTCAAAGAAAAATGGTGAAATTATGCTACTAGTCCTTAAACTTCTTAGGCTTCACAATTTGAACTTCAAAGTTTACCGATGTTCAATTTAGTCTTTATCTTCACAAATATTTAAAATGTAAAAGAATAAAAAGAAAAAGAGAACTATACAAACAAACTTATAAATGAGTCGATAAAAGAATTTGTTTGTGAATATAAATAAACTGAATAAACCTCTGTTCATGTTCGTTCATTTATTAAATGAATATAATTCTTTTTTGAAATAAAAACAACTACTTTTATTAAGAAATAAAAAATATTCAAAATTACAATAAGAGTTTGCAACTAGATTCATAAACTAAACGCATAATTAGGACATTATTCTATCTGCTATTGCAAAAGAACCACAAGAGATTTAACTATTGAAATACCACCGATAAACGTAAATCATAGACAATTATTGTGAGAAAACTATCTACGAACGTATGTTGCGTATCCAAATTTAAATCAAGGTTCAAAACAGGAAATATTAACGGGATAACAAATGAGTGTTATTATTAGTCGCAACGACATCAAATCCAACCATGAGAAAAATAAAGGGCAGGAACGACCAAACGACCGAAGAAAACCTAAAATAATGTGCCAAAAGACATAAAAAATGTGTCATAAAAATTAAAAAAAAAAACCATGTCATAAAGACAAAGTTATTAGAAATAAAAAGATAAAAATGCGAGATAATAAATAGAGAAATACTGGCGGCGAAAATCAACACTTAGGTTAATATAACCGCGTACTAAGCAAAGATGAAAATGAAAGGAACAAACAATGTTTTACAGAAAAGAAAAAGAACGGCTAAGATTTAAGAATGATTCTCTAATTTCTCAAAATAAGCATTTTTTTTTAATTTGATAAGCTAGAAACAATAAATAAGATGATAATATAAAAATTTTATTCGTACTCATTTATTTAATTTAATAAATAATTTATAATTAGTTCATCGACAATCTATTCATTTAATAAAGAGAAAATAACTTCAGTGACCAAAAATGTCTTATAATATACGATTTTAACCAACTTTTTTTGGATTTGTCAAAATGACTAACTAAATCGCAATGCGATCGATAATTCGCAACGCGATCTCCGGTATCGCAAATCAGTTTCCAGATTCGCAACGCGAACTTCGACTATCACATTGCGATTTACATATTCGCATTGCGATAGTCCAAGTTCGCGTTGCGATTTTCCAAATTCGTTACGATAGTCGAAGTTCGCATTGCCATTTATTCCAAGTTCGTTGCGATAGTCCAAGTTCGCGTTGCGATTTATTCCAAGTTCGTTGCGATAGTCGAAGTTCGCGTTGCGATTTATTCCAAATTCGTTGCGATAGTCGAAGTTCGCGTTGCGATTTATTCCAAGTTCGTTGCGATAGTCGAAGTTCGCGTTGTGATTTATTCCAAATTCGTTGCGATAGTCCAAAATCGCAACGGCTGGTGGTATTGCATTTGTTTCCAATACTATGTGGGATTGAGCATTACCAACAGTTGTTCCCAATACTATGTGGGATTGAGCCTTAAATAGTGATATTATTTTTTATTGTTTTGCTTAAAATTGCAATAATCGCGATTGATTGTAGATTAACTTTTAATTATGAAATATTTAATCGTATAATACTAATGCAATTGGTTGCTGATTCAGTTGTTTTAAGGTGCATGATTGTTAATTGTTTCCTGAATAATCACATTGTATTGGAAACAAGTGTTGGTAATGCTCAATCCCACATAGTATTGGAAACACTATTGGGAATGATATTTAAGGCTTGGTTTTCCCACTTCCTTGTTGAGTGATAGAGAACAAGAGGACTCTCGCGCGCCGCCGCCGCCGTCTCGTCTCGTCTCGTCTCGGGTCGTGGTCGTCGTGGTCGTGGTCATACGTATCTTCGACACGTCCGCGCGAATACTATCTTTTTAGAGAAAATTCTTAAGAAACAAATGCAATACCACCAATCGTTGCGATTTTGGACTATCGCAACGAATTTGGAATAAATCGCAACGCGAACTTCGACTATTGCACCGAATTTGGAAAATAGCAACGCGAACTTCGACTATCGCAACGAATTTGGAAAATCGCAACGCGAACTTCGACTATCGCAATGCGAATATGTAAATCGCATTGCGATAGTCCAAGTTCGCGTTGCTATAGTCGAAGTTCGCGTTACGAGTCTGGAAATTGATTTGCGATACCGGAGATCGCGTTGCGAATTATCAATCGCATTGCGATTTAGTTGGTCATTTTGGCAAATCTAAAAAAAATGATTAAAATCGTATATTATAAGACATTTTTGGTCACTGAGGTTATTTTCTCTTTAATAAATGGGGGAAGACGAGTTTTTGGTAGTTCATCGACCAACGATTGCTGTTTTATACATAAACGTTTTATAATAATCGACGTCTCGTTATCAAACCTCGTCTCCGCCATGTAAATCCGCGCTGAAGTTGCAGACTCTCTTACCAATATTATTCAAAAGTGGTCTTTCTTACCGGCATAGACCTAATAACGTTGGTTTAATTATCAACCCAGACATCCGTTTATAAGTTAACGGCCGAGGAATTAAATCTTTTACAGATATAAAAGAATAAAACTATTTTTTATAAAATCAGTAATTTAAATCGAACGGATCAAAAATATAAGTTATCATTCGTATAGTTTATCTAATAATAAATTATTGGATTAACTTGTAAGATACATGAGTGAATCAAACTTAAATATTATATATTCTAAAGTTATAGACAAAATAAATTAGATTGAGTGAATCATTTTTATAATAAATCTTTATAACAATCAATTTACATCAATAGTCAATAAATCGATACGAAAGATTAATAAAAAAAATGTTAAATCTTTTAAACTGATCGATTAAGGGTCGAGATTTGTCGAACAAAGATTTGTACGCATTAACTTTGCATACATGACATTTAAAGCTCAACTGAGGTTAAAATTATTAATCAAATTTAAAAATAAACCATTTAGTTTTACCGATTATTTTTCTTAAATTAATAATTTAAAATAAAAGTAAATTACATCCAATGTGACTTAAAATAAGTATTTTCTCAATCGATCCGCCTCGACCATATAAAAGTATATTTTCCATCCAAAATTCGACTTGACTCGGATTTAAGGTCACTCTATCGACCCGAAACTCGAGTCATCTATTGAGATAAAATTCGCACCTGATTCGGAATAAATATATATATATTTATATATATATAATTTTATTTGATAATATAGGAATCTAATTCAAAATAATAAAAGAGTATTATTGCAATTATTCTTAAATATATAATGTATAATTACATTATTTTTCGATTCAGATAAAATTTTTCACCCTAAACTCAAATTCTATCTGATCCAAACTCATAATCTAAAAAATAAAACTGGACCCGAGTCGACCCAATCCCAATTTTTCACAATTCAATAAAGTTGAATCGGATTGAAACTCATCGGGTTCAGATCCATACCCATCACTAGTTTCATCTCATGTGCTCTGTGGAGACCGTAGACGATTCACAAAGTTATGAATGCCTCGGATGAAGGCTCTTACATAAACATGAGCGTTTGCGTATAGAGGGCTCGAACCTCCGACCTATCATATATGGATCACCACCTTGAACGTTGGGTACACCTCCATCCGATGCATTCTTGACAATGCACGAGAACAATACCAACGATTTCACGATGATGTCTCTCATGCTTCCTCGGTCGATCAACTTATCGATGCATTGCCGAACACAGAACTAAGTCGGCAATTCAAACGTCGTCGTCAACACCAATATGTACGGTGATCGATTCTCCAATCATAAATCCTAGCATGTAGTTTTATCTAAGCAAGGCTAGATGCAAATGCTGAGACTAGTAGCAATGTAGCATTATCACCCAAAGAATTACATCATAATAGTAGTTCAGAAATCCTCATAGAAGTATAAATTAGCAATCATAAACTGTAACAGATCAAACGCGAAAATGGTTTTAAGTTTAAGTCCAGGAGAAAACAATTGCCTAGTTAGGTAGCTAACTATCATCTGATTTCATACTCCTTCCACAGAAGAATCTCTTCAACCATGATAATCGAAAACGAGTTTTCTTGGGAACTTCATGGCTTAACTCAGCCTGCTGGCTTAAATTATCCTCTACCAGTTCCGAGACCTTGAACCTTAGTTCATTCCACAACTTATTCTCCATTAGTAGAGAATCATCACTTATATTGCGCTGGAACGCATTGCAGGTGGTAGCATTACTCATTTGCTCATCTGCTGGATTCACCTTTGAGCTCTTGGTAGACTCAGCTGCAGTGAACATGCCATATTCAGCTTTCCCATTTGAGGGATCTTTATCGAATTCGATCTCGTGATCATGGTCTCCAGCAGTGGATTTAGTATCGAAATTAGAATATCGAACTCTGTTACGATCCTCCTCACCATGAACATGATTTTGCATTCCTTGGGATCTCAACTGGTCATATTTCTCAGCTAACAAGCGGTACGATTTCTGCAACTCTTCAACCATTTCGATGAGTTCGGGTCTCTTCTTATAATACATCTCAGCCCTCTTGGCGAACGTATCTCCGTCGTCTTGCACGATAATGCTAAGTATCGCATTGTTCTTCGTATCCAAATCTGCATACAAACACACATAATTACTGGTACATTACAAGCCATGAATCGAAGTAATTCTACAGCAGTATAACTATTACCATTACAGGCAGTGACATTAGTGTGTTCCATTGAATCTATATCTATCACCAGTCTCCACTGAGAACTGAAACAATAGTAAATCTCTCTTATAGAAAACAACCCCACAGAGCTAAAGAAAATTTGGTTAGAGATGCTTGTGACTGAAGTAAAACTTTTATTTTCCTTCATGTGTGGGCGAAGGAAGGTGATGGGGCTTGTTTCTCATTGAAGCAAAAGCAAATGCAACAGCTATATTTGCTTGAAGGGACGGACCAGAACGCAGTACTTTATGTTAAGGGCGAAGTTATAAAATTTTATGAAGGAAGACGAATTATCAATAGAAAATATAAAGAAAATATCTTTACCGGAAAGAATAGTTTGAAGCCATTGAGATTGCTGACGGAGAACTTGGCTGTCAACCCGAGAAAGTAGAGCAGCATCTTCTTCCTCTTGCTCTTCTTTATCCATGTAAAGGTAGCAATTTCTTCAGCCTGGCAAGCCTTGTAAAATTTTCAAGGACAACCCTATTAGGGAGTAAAATTTAACTTATTCGATTTTTTTCTAGAAATTATTTGTTTTTATAAAAATTGATTTGATTTAACTGAAATTTGATTATTATTTTTTTAAGATTTGTATATGGGGCTCAACTATCTATTTTTAGGAAATAACTCTAATTATGCCCAATTTAAGGAAATGTCTCTAATTATCTATTTAAGCGGTTTTTACGCTTTAATTTTGAATTTGAAATTTGAATATCATTAGAATCTTAGACTATAGTTTTATAGGAGATAAATATATTTTTCTAAATAATATCTACACGAAGGAGGGAAGGAGAATTTTGTTCCTAATATTTGAGGACAATGTTTGGTCTAAATATAAGAGAGTGAAAATCGTTTAATTGGGCATTTAAAAAGTTTAATGCACATTATCAATAATTTATAAAGCATGTGGTTAAAAGTTCTTAGTTGACACCTCCTCCAGTTGTGAGATTAGTATCTTTTAGGAGTGAAAATTCTCTTATCTCTCTTTGGAAGGAATTGTTAAAAAAAATTAGTTTGCATTTTTATTTCATATGTTCTATTGAATGTTTTCTTTGTTGGTGTGCATTTTTCTTTCAAATCCATGTTGTCTAATTTGCTTTGATTGACCTTAAGTTTGTTGTTTTGATTCTTATATTACATCCTTTAAATCAGGCAACATTATAAGTCAAAATGATCATTCTTTTTGGGCTTAATATAAAAATATTTCTCATTTAGGTGTTTAAACTTTTTTTTTATCAATTTAGGTATTAACATTTCCAATGTTATCATTTAGGTGTATGCATCATAATGGCCGTTAAAAGAAATCTGTTAACAATAAATCAATCAAATCAATCAATATTTGACATGTAACTTTATTTTTTTTAATTTTCTTTAATTTAAAAAATAAAATTCATAAATTAAAAAAAAACATAATTTTTCCTATTTTTCATAAAATACCTTAAGACCTTCAATTCTAGCCGACCACCACCATCGTCGGTGACCACCCACTCACACGTCGGCCATCAGCCTGCCGACTACTCACCCACCGATTGGGGTAGATGGGTGTTGGGATTTAGGGATTTGGGTTTAGGTATTTTGAGATTTAGGGATTTGGGTTTAGGTATTTTGAGGCTTTGAAGCTAGGATTGGCGTCCGAAAATGGGTGGGTAGGTGGTGGTCGGTGGGGGCGAAAGCAACGGAGGTCGACTGGCAGGTGGGTTGGATGCTTTGAGATTAAGGATTTTGAGATTTTAGAAATATTTTGAGGATTTTTTTAAAATAATAAAAATAATTTTAAGTTTTTTTAAATAATTTTTTTAAAATTTATAAATGCACCACGTGTCGTATTCTGAGTGGTTGACGGAATATTTTTAACATTTGCCACGGTTTAGGCACCTAAATGATAACATTAAAAATGTTAGACACCTAAATCAACTATAAAAAATTATGTACCTGAAAAGAGGTATAGTTTAGACATTTTTTATATTAGACCTTATTTTTGTTGATCTCTTATGTTTGCATCATGATCAAAGGGTTTACATTGATCCAAATTACAATGAACTCAAGCTACGTCATCAAAAAAGAAGAAGAAGAAATTACAAAATAAAAATAAAAGAAGAGAAAAAAAATAGTAAACAGTATAAATATATCGATATCCTTCCCTACTTTCTTATTTGAAAAAAAATGAAAAATAAATAAAATAAATATGTTGATCAATAAGTCTAAAAAGCATCTTCTGATCATACCTTGACTCGAGCATTGCTACAATGTAAATAAAGATCCTTGATTTTTATATCTGATTGGAGATGTGATATATTTTCAAGTCTATGAACTATGACTTGAGAGTTTATGTTACCTTAACAACTTTGATGGAGAAATCCATTATCGAGTCTTATTTCGTGTTGATTTCATGGAATTAATAAAATAATTAATCATTTTTGTTGGGTTGTGAAGACATCTACTTTGTATAAGTTATTTATTGCTGTATTTTTTTACTTGACTGATAAGATTTGAAAAATCGAACCACATCACATTGAAATATATGTATTAGTCGCTCTTTAATTTATCAAGTCTTTATACAGTTACACAATATAATACCTCGAAAATCGATTTAATATTTTTTCTGACGATTCAAAAATATTATTCAGTTGTTAATTTTAAATTATATTCGAGATTAAATTTGAATAATTTGTAATAGAAAGAAATCAAGATTAATTGTGACTAAAGGACTAAATTGAATATTATAAGGAAATGTGAGTAAGGATTGGACTGTAAAGAGATTAATGGAATTGTTTTGCATGGCAATCAATTTTGTAACAGAAATAATGTAAATAATTAAATATAAAGCCAAAGAGCTTGCAAATTCAATTTTAGTTACGTTATTTGCCCACAAAAATAAAAAAAAATAATTACAGGCTCGGGATAATAAATTTAGGGACGGGCATAACTTACATTACAAATATGAGAATTAAATTATGACCGATTAAATTAAAAAAATAAAAATAAGGGTAAAGCACACAAGTGGTCTCATGACTATAGGGTGATACTTTGTTGAGTACTCTGATTATTAAAAGTTATAAGATGATCTCTTAATTATAGGGCGTTATTTTGTTGAGTCGTCTAATTATTAAAAGTTACAAAATGGTCACCCGACTATTCATATATTCCAAATTTGTTCTTTTCTATTAAAAAATCGATGGCTGATTGAGCTGATCGATAACATGTCGATTGAGATGTGATAAAATAATATTTTCATGATGTCTAATGGCACTGCCATTGCTTTCAAGGCACTGACTCGACAGTATAATATTTCAAGCACTAACTCGAATGACATGGTGTAACGAAGAGTTGATCCATAAATTATAACTCAAATGGTTCTATGATCATATTTTATCATAGATCCCAATTAATAGGTTAACGTCAAGTCCAGACGCTCATCAATTTTTTAACATAAAATGATGAGTTTGAAACATATGAATAGTCGGATGACCATTTTGTAACTTTTAACAGTCAGAAGACTCAACAAATCAACGATCTATAGTTGGGGATCATTTGTAACTTTTAATAGTCAAGGAACTCAACAAAACAATGTCATATAATCGAGAGACTATTTGTGTACTTTACCCTAAAAATAAATGTGTTTGAATTCAAGTTTCAAGCCTTCCTACCATAGTGCAGAAGCATGAGATTGGGGTGATGAGGTGGAGTTGAGGTATGTGGAAGCAAAGCGACGCCGTCTCTTGAAGTATTACTCCATATTTCATCTCTCACATGCTGCAACGTTAAGGATGGTTGAAGCTCTTCCTCTCTGCACCTTATCTCCACCTGCTTTTTCACCAATCCAAATTCCACATTATATGCCCATCCTAAACTTGTTTCCATGCTAGAATTTGAAGCTATGTATTATATATATAATAATAAAAGCAACGAAGAATTTAGAAATATTTTTAAGATGGACACATGTATATTAATAATATAAATTTTTCGTATGGAATTAACACAAATAAAATTTGAGGATGGACAACATTAAAAAATGAATTAACATAAAAAAACTAAAATTTCAAGATAGACACGTACCCATCGTGGACAATACTTGCATCTACCACTCTATACAAATATATACTTCCACTCTTATAGGGTAATTGAACTGCTCCTATAATTTAAATTTTAGATTAGTCTTTGAACATCCAAGGCTTATAATTCATTCATCAAAGAATCAATATAATATTAATCTAGGTTTTTCGTTAGTTTAACTATTCATTTAAACATTAAATGACAAATCAAATATGAATACATCATATAGAAACACATGAATCATTTTATAAATATGTGCATAGTTACTGCAGTGAGAGCTTAAGTAAAAAATAAATAATTTCTTAAATTTTATTGATATAATATATTTTTTTACCTATCAAGTTTGAATTGTATGCAATAGGAATACATATGATTTATAATTGGATCCACATGGTTTAAATATGTTTCAGATCCAAGAATGATAAAAAAAAAATATCGTATCTAACTGGTTTCGATCTAATCTGATAAAGTCAATTTTTTATATAAATTTCGTGTTTTGAATCGGTTGGATTCATGTTTAGAAAGAATTTGATGTGTCCAAAATAACAATAAAATAATTTTTAACAAATCCTAAATCTAATCATAATTCTAATATTACGTAGAGAAGAGGGGAATGAAAGACTCTAGAGAAGGAAGAAGAGTCCTCGTAATAGGTCTAGAACTCATAACCTAAGTGAATATAGAAGAACAAAGATGAACAATTTGAACAACCGATCAAATATGATTACTCATAACAACAAAATATTCTTTTATGTATTTATATATAATCAGTAAATTTTTTATAAAAATATATGTAAGTATTTATGAAGTTATGCATGATGAGTAGGTGACGTCTTGTGTATGCCCCCATATCTCCCAAACTTGTCCTTTACACTTAAAATTAAAATTTATATGTTTAGCTTTCCATTGTCCTCAAAACAAAACAAAAACTGCCATTTAATTCCACGATCCCAAAAAGGAATCATTACGTGACCCACCAAGACTTTTCTCGTAAGCCAAAATCATGAATCCATAGAATTTTATGTTAATTAGTGGGGTTAAATACATTAAATAATTACCTTTTATAATAATTCAAATTCCGTAGGAATAAAAAATAAATAAAATATTTGTAATGGATCCTGAAAGCCCGGCGAAGAACAGGCAAGATTTTTTTTTATATTATACAATATATTCATTCCAACAAAACCTAACTTCAATTCTCTAACACCTGTCACATACAATACAACAACAATGGCATCTCATGCACCTCTTCTTCACGTCGCTTTCTATAATTTCCACGTTTCAAAATTCAAACTAAACCCTAATCTTTGAAGTTATTAAAAGGTCAAATTATGCTTCCAAATTGTTTTATTTTTATTTTATTTCCTTTAATTAGTAGTAACTGTTTTTTTAAACATTAAATGCATAATATAAAACTACTTGTTTAAATGGACGGGTTATGGACAGACACAAAATTTTATGTTAAAGGATAAATTTTTAAAATTTTAAAAATGATAAACTTATAAAATAAAGGGGGCAAAACAGATATTCAATAGAAAATATATAGAAAAAAATCTAAAATATATAATAATTTTAAATTTTCACAATGGATGACTACACCCACCTGCCCCTTTGATCCATTCCTGGATGATGATGATCAGTGGTGTTCAAACGGGTAATTCGGTTAACCAACCAAATTCCATTAATCGAATTTTTTTCCATTAACCGTTAATCGAACTATTTTTTTCTTAAAAAATTTAACCAAACCGAACTAAACTCGGTTAATTGATCGGTTAACCGAATTAACTAAAATTTATAAATAATATATTATATATTAAATATTTATATTTTTTGTTTATTCGGTTAATTCGGTAAAAATAGAGTTCAAACACCCCTAAAGCTAAATAATATATATATATATATATATATTATTAAATATTTAATAATTTCGGTTAATTCGGTTAATTAACCAACTTCAAACTGAATTAACCTAAACCAAAATTTGAAAAAAAACCATTAAATGTTAACCGACCGAACTTAAAATTAACCGATCGAAATTTCGGTTCGGTCGGTTAATTCGATTTTAACCGAACAGTAAACACTCCTAGTGTTGATGAAATATGAAAGACTTGTTCATAAATATTTAAATGATGCATGCATTTTAGTTTCTTTAAACTTTTAAATGTTCTAATTATATATCATGTTAATAAAATCGTTAAAAGATTATTACATGCCACGTAAATACTTATGTGTGTTATATAACAATATAATGCGACATAAATACTAATTAATGTTGTATCATGTCCTCTGGAATCATTATTTAAACTGAAATTGAAAGATTTTTTATTTTTACTTTTTTCTCTTAATTTATTGATAATTTGTTTTACGTTTTAAGATCAAATCATTACTTTATTTAAATTCAACTTAATTATCGTGTATGTCAGATGATATTATTATATAATACACATAAATATTTATATGGAAGTCGATAATTTATAACAATTTATTAGCAAAAATCGTGATTTAGTATATAGTAATAATATAAAATGAGAGTTGACCTCAATCTAAATACTCGATACTAACAACACATGATTGATGATATTACGACAAAAAATAAACAAAAACAGAATGTCGAGGATGCCATATATTCATATGAGGATAATATTCTAGTCTTTAAAATGGGGAGGGGGGGGGGAAGAGTATGTATAGTATGACTGACTAAATCAATATGCTTTAAAAAAATAACAAATAGTTAAATGACTAACCATGTAATATGTTATCTATGCAACTTAACATATTTTTTAATATAAGAATATATTGTGTGATTTCAGTGGTAAAATGAATTATTGTTCTTTCTAGAAGTTCTAAATACGAACATCCGTATATGTAAGATATATGTGTGTTGTGAATAAGTAAGAAAGATTAATAATTTTAAATATGCACTCCTTCCACGTAAATTTAGCAGAAGAGCAGCTTATGTCAAACTAAGCTAACAGCTGGGGAAAGCTTAATTCATGTTTCTGCCTTAGCTGTGAAACGCGTTGAGATTTTCTTAAGAAAACACATAAAATAAATTATCAAATAATTCTTCATTTGGACCGACATTTTATCATATTATTCCAGAAATTGCATAGAAGAAGTTGCAATATTCTTCCCTATGACTTGTGCATGTATATATTTTTTAAAGTAGCTATATTGTCCATATTACATAGCATGCGTGACATGAAATGCTATTGTCTTGTATTATGCATATAAATCCTTAGGTTATGTATTATGATGCTTAATTAGTATGAAAGAAAGCTTTAACATTATCATCATTATTGCTTGAGATGAAATAATTGTATTTGATTATGAAGTGTGCATGAGAAGCATGTACCTCGTGCACAAATTATTATGATAATGACTGTTTACGTACATATTTTCTTCGCCACTGAGTACATACATAGACGTGCGTCCAAACCCTAAAAGAATTACAATGTAAATGATTATACACTTTTTTGAAGTGTATATACTAAGAATTTATGTATCTTCCTTTCTGAATTTAGGTCATTTGTATCAGTTTCCATGAATTCTGCTTCAAGTAAGGGTTATATTTGATGTAAAATACATGTCATTCAGGTCAAGATGTGAATTTTAAGGCACATGTTATGTATTGACTCAATTTCTAGTTAATATTTAAGTTGAATTTTGATGTAATTTTAATGGTTGAAGATTAATTAATAATTAAGTTTATTTGGGTAAAAACTCCTATGAAATAACATTTATTAATGATTAAATATTTGATTCTATAAATATAGAGTATGAGGATGACGCGAGAGAGAATCATCATAGTGATATAATGCTTCTGGGATATATGTTTGAGAGATGGGATATATGTTTGAGAGAGAGATCTTGTAAGAATGTTGAAATATATTGTGGTCATTGTGATACATGAAATTTCATATATTTAAACTCTTTCTTATCTATGTGTTTATAGTAAATTTTTTCTTCTTTCGTTCGTTCCTAGAGGTAGACAAGACAAAATTACATCAAGTTCTATTTGTTTGTACGATTTATTTATGTTAATCTCAATTTAATTATTTTTTGCTTACAAATTACTTACAACACCCTCACTCATTTCTTGCACTTGATTATTTTATATGTTCTCCCTTTCCTTCCGCACAATACATTGCTTATGTTGATTATTGATACGTTACTTTCACATAAGTTTCTGGTGAGGAACAGTAAACCACATTTACAGAAAAAGGAAACCCAGTGATTCTCTATTTGGAGTTGAGAAAAAGCAGGTGGTTGGTAAGTTTCTATATCATCTCTAATCTTCTACAGTTGAGCCCTAATCCTTTCACTAAGAGCAGTCATGGCTAACTAAAACAAGTTTATAACCATTTTAAAACAAAAAAGATTTGGACAATCTTAAGGACAATAGGTTATGGCTTAAAAGACTAACAATGAGATGTACTTCCCACCTAACAAGAACAGTTTGACAGATGCGTTTAGTTCTGAGGTTCCTGTCATGTCTCTATAACACCAACCAAGTCATATAATCGTGATTATTCACGAGAATATTAATTCACTGCATTTAGTTTTGTTAATGAGACGTGCAAGATTTTCAACATGAAATGTAGCATTTTAAAGACAATCAGAGGAGTTGCATGTAATACCTCGGATTCGCTGTCTAGATTCAGCTTGTTAACCAGATACTTCATTACCGACCGTACTGTCATCTTCCCGTCCCTGATTTTTTGAATCAGATGAAGCCAAGAACATGAAATAATTGTTAAGAAAACAAGAAAAGGAAGTGGTAGGGATGAAATATTATTACTTGATTCTCAGGTAGCACTTTGGTATTTGAGGCAAGAACGGTTCTTTTGCTCTGAAATGTTCAAAGAAAAGAAGTTAATTTTGTCAGAAAGTAAACTCTAATTTATTTAAAAGAAAGTCCATTTCTTTTCTTACTGATTTTCTGATGCTTGTAACATAAACCAAATGCCAGAATGGGGTCTTCTGGGTGGATCAATGATTCTAACATCCGAGTTAGGTCCTGCGACATCGATGCCGGGTTGCAATCGGAACGGTCCGGTAAAATAGGAGCCCGACGGCACCAACGACGAAGAGGAAGCGGCTGCTGCTATAGGCTTAAATGTATTGGAGCTGCTTCCTTCTTCTTGTTGTTGTAGGAATAAAGATGTGGCAAAACCTTGCATGACCAGTGGATGTATCGGAGCTCGAAACTCCGGCATATGCGGACTTTCTCGATGCGAGCCACCGCGGGGTAATAGATTGAATCCGGTCAACCCTCGGCCATGATCGCCGTGGTCAAGCTTGGCATGATGATTTCTTGTGGCGTGATAACCTCCTATACTTAATTGAAGCCAACCTTTATCTCCCTCTTCTTCTTCCTGATGATTGTAATCCTTGGAGCTGGAGCCTACCTCATTAAGACTATTAGTTCTCGATGCATCGTCGGCCATGTGGTTAGCTCCTACAGATCCTAAGCAAGCTTCACTCTGATATCCATACCTCCTAAGGCTCAAATTCTCTGCACAACTGCCACCGCTACAACCGTAAATATCGAGGCCGTCGCCACCGTGGCGAGGAAGATGATTTCGTTTGGACAGGTTCTCGGCAGGAACCATGATCATATCCGCAAGTTTTGAATATAACAAGAGGAATTTGTGGTGATTGCCATATATCAGATTAAAATTCTCCTGGTTTGGAAGCTTGTGGGGGAGATGAAATAGTTGCAGGGAAGATGGAGGGAGAGGAATATTGATTAAATAATGATAGTATCTGTATATATTCTCTTAGGGTGGTCGAACCATCATAGTTTTTTGACTTTATTAAGACGAAATATATGTTCCACCTGCTTTCTAATGGGGGAAAAAATATATGTACCCACAGGGTCCCCTAGGAAAACACCTTTAATTTAGGGCATCTTCCAAGGAAGAAAATGACACTAAAGGCGCCTTCTTTTTAAAATATCACAAAAAGGTCCTTTTTAAGTCCTAATGGGAGGCTATGGGGAATGTCTATCTTTTTCTACAAAAATAAAATTAAACTACAATTAGAATGTTTTAAAACAGACAACAACAAAACCCCATCACGCCGTCCCTTTGTCCCCAAAATTTGTTCCAAAGATCAGACGACTCTCGTGCTTTTGGTTGGTGCGTATCGTAATCATGAAATTGATTTAATAAACAACTTATTCTCCATAGTAATTTTACAGGAGCCTGATGTCAGTTCTGTGCAGGGAGTAATCTGATTATGTGGTATATTCTTGACAGCAAGAGGACAAGTTCAAGAACTTGCGTGCCAATGGCTGCAGAGGAGTGGCAAGGCATAATGAGATTACCTGTCAAGAATAAGGAGTATGTTATTTGGAGGTTATTTTAATAGGGAAACTTTGGTATGCATGATGGTGTTTCCCCATGACTCGAGAATCGGGCTTGCTTGGTAGGACATTCGTTGCTGATAGCATGTGCCACCCACCCTCTCTCTCTCCGTCTTCTCATTTGTTATCTTCTTTCTCTTGGTGTTTAAACTTGGAACAAGTGACCTAATACTATTTGATTTCAATGGCCTCTGTTAGCTGCCAATCGTTTTCTGAAAAGCTGCTCTTCTTTTCTTTCCAGCTTATCAAACATGCGCTGTCCACCCCCCTCTCTCTAGAAAACAAGAAAGAAAAGGACTTTTCATGGAGGAGTTGTGTGAAGTCATAAGTGTGTGCTTAGGTATAAATAGATGAAATTGCTATAGAAGAGAGATGTTGGGCGTTTAGTTCGGTTGAGTGTTTGAAGGGTTCCTATTTGACATGGACGGTGGAATTAAGTGTTTGAAGGGTTCCTAATATCTACGTGCTACGGCTTATCCTAGATCATAATATCGCTCTAACAATAATTTGATAGTTGATTGAATAGATATGATCATTAGCTATAGGATAAGTGACCATCGATGGTGTACAAAGCTTTAGGACTATCATGCAAAGACGATCGAGTGGGATGGTGATGCAACTAGGAGATATAAGACGAGGAGATACCTGTAGAATAGTCATAAAGACCCTTTCCAACAAATATTCTCAATTGGGACGTTCTAGCGTATACTGATGTCATAGTCAGTATGTTTATTTAGCTCTTAAAGGAGAAATGGTTCGGTGTTAGGTCTCCACCATCCTTCTCACCTTGTGTTAACAAGTATTCATATGAAAGACATTCTAATTGTAGAACCCCTTGCCTTAGGGGTGCCACTTAATTGCTGGAATAGGTATTCATATGAAAGGATTGCAGAACTATGGGGTAATATGGAAGCTCCGGGGGGAAATGCATTCCATTCACAAGATTATGAAAAATTCACGGTATTGATATCTACTAAACATAAATAAAAAAATTGATGAAGTGATTGAATTTGAGGTTGGCAATGTAATTCATGAAGTGCGGGTGGTTGAGATTGGTTTCTCGGATCCAAACAAAGCTAACCAGTTCAACGAAGTGAGGACAAAGTTGAATGGGAATATTTTACATGAAAAAATTGTTAGTCAACCAGAATCTTCGTCAGAATCGGAGAAGGATTTATCACCGCTAAATGTATCTTGTTGCAGTCGATCCAAGGAAGAAGATGCATTTGTTGACTTTAGTCTTGGAAAAGACTATAATGATATTGTAGAGCAAAAGTACAGTGTGGGTGATAAATACACGGGGAAAATGGAAAATATGTGCAGTGGGTTCAAGAAGTCCTCACCGATTAACGTGGAGAAAAATGATTGCTATTATGACATGGTGAATACTGACTAAGAAGATAGAGATGGAAAGTAAATTTGGGGAGACTGCGTGTAATCAAGAGTTGGGCCAAGAAAGAGGGTCTAGTAGGGCTTTGGATGATGCTAGAGATATGGTACTATTGGCAGAGTTAGGTGCTCGTGCTCCTAAAATTGGTGGGAGATTAAAGGATGGTCGCAACGCTTCAAAGAAAGTCATATTGAAAGGAACCAAAAAAGTGAGGAGTAGGGTAGACATAGTGGATGCCGGTATTATCGCTCATGCAAAAGATGATGATGGCATGTTGGATGGGCCTATTTCTTATGAGTCACAAAGTGAAAGAGATGAATCTAAAGCTTTTTTTCTCTGAATTGCTTGAATGTAGGAATACGAAACGAGCTAAAATATATGGGTCTCTATTTGGAATTCAAGGTAAATCATTTTCTGTGTTTGATAGAAAAAAAGGTAGCAATTCAAAGAAACAATTCTAAGAAGAAGGAACAAGACTTGTTTGTACTTTCAGGAAGATCCCTATCGGATTCTGACCTTGTGACCAAGGAGGTTAGGAAGTCGCTGGATCTCGGAAAGAGTTTAGGAATCCAAATTGTTGGTGATGAAGAGGAGATGGTGAGGGAACTAGCCTGTCTTGAATAGATTTAAGAAAGGGGGTGAATCTGTCGTTAGCAAGCCTTTGGGGCTTATGGATTGCTAGATGATTTTGTGGAATCATAACTTTAGAGGGATAATTCGAATCTCTGCTGCACAACCAGCCATGGTCTTGATCTTTCTAAAATTTCTCGGGCTCCTCCTTCAGTCGGGGCAGTAGAGTTTTGCGTGGGAAATTTGTGGTAGAGGCAAAATCAGGATGTGGTGGATTTCTTGCACTGATAGTGGGATAATATTTTTGGGTCCAATTGAGGGCGTGGGATCTATCTGTTGGTCAAAGAAAGCTAGCAGCCGGTGGCTACTTGAATTAAAAACACGAGCTGCTAAATTTTTTTAATTATTTTGTAATAGAAATAATTACAAAATTGAGTCATTAAACTTTAGGGTATTTACAAGATTAGTCCCTAAGTTTCAACTATAAATACCCTAGCTCATTTAGCTTGAAAATCATCCCAAAACATTTCTTTCTTCCTATACTAGAGAGTTTTCTTGTGAGTAGTGAGCGTTATGTAAACACCTGTAAATTTTTTCTCTTAGTAAAAGATCTGCAGCAGCCGGAGACGTAAGCACAATTGGCTGAACTCCATTATCAATTTTCGGGTATTATTTTTCCACTTTTATTTCGCATTCTCACTAATCTGGTTATAGGGAAATTACTTGTACTCGGTTTATTTCCTAACAACTGGTAATCAGAGCTTTTGGTTGTGAATTTTGTTAATTTTCTGCGAGGTTACTATTCATTACTATTCACATGAATAGTGAATTTTGTGAATAGTGAAATTCGGTCGGCGATACGAGTTTGTCGACGGAGGTGTTCTAATACACGGCAGTTCGCAAAAATTGTCAGAAACGATCCAAACGAAGCCAGATTCGAGTGGGAGCAATGGCTGCAGACGAAGGGAAGGTGAAAATTGAAAAGTTCGATGGTGCGGACTTTGGCTTTTGGAAGATGCAGATTGAAGATTTTCTGTACCAGAAAAATCTATATCAACCTCTTTCAGGAAAGCAACCAGAGGGCATGAAGAATGAAGACTGGGCTCTTATAGACAGACAAGCCCTCGGAGTTATCCGACTGACGTTATCCCGCAATGTTGCTTTCAACATAGCAAAGGAAAAGACCACGGCGGGTCTTATGGCGGCTTTCTCCAGTATGTATGAGAAGCCATCAGCCTCAAACAAAGTTCATTTGATGAGGCGATTATTCAATTTGCGGATGACGGAAGGGGCATCGGTGGCACAACACCTAAATGAACTCAACACAATCACAACCCAGTTGAGTTCAATGGAAATTGAATTCGATGATGAAGTTCGAGCTTTAATTCTCTTATCATCTCTACCAGACAGTTGGAATGCTACTGTTACAGCAGTCAGCAGTTCGTCGGGAAACAGTAAATTAAAATTCGACGATGTTCGGGATCTGGTACTGAGCGAAGAAATTCGACGGAGAGAATCGGGTGAAGCATCAACCTCCTCAGCCTTGCACACGGAGTCTAGAGGGAGAACTTCAGAAAGAAATTCAAATCATGGCAGATTAAAATCCAGAAGGGGCAAATCAAGAACAGGAAATAAAGATTTTACCTGTTATAATTGCGGCAAGAAGGGTCACTTCAAAAGAGATTGTCGAGCACCGAAGAAAAATACCGGCACACAGGAATCTGCCAACGTGACACAGGAGACAGGTGATGCCATGATTCTAAGCGTCAACAGTCCAATTGAATAATGGATCTTGGATTTAGGAGCATCTTTCCACTCCACCCCGTGCCAAGAAATCATGGAGAACTATGTCATTGGTGATTTTGGGAAGGTTCATCTAGCTGATGATGAAACCTTGAAGATCGTCGGAAAAGGAGACATCAGACTAAAGTTGACAAACTAGACCACCTGGAAGCTAACAGGAGTGAGACATATTCCCGGCCTCAAAAGAAATATGATTTCTGTTGGACAGCTTGATGGAGAAGGATATAGTACAACCTTTTCAGGTTGTGAATGGAAGATTACCAAAGGAGCACTCGTCATTGCTCGTGGTAAGAAAACTGGTACTCTCTATATAACCTCAAATTTAGAGAATATCATTGCAGTAGCAGATGCTGATGGCACCAAAGGCTTGGCCATATGAGCGAGAAAGGAATGAAGATACTTCTGTCAAAAGGGAAGCTGCCGGATCTAAAGAATGTAGATGTCAGACTATGTGAGGATTGCATCATTGGCAAACAAAAGAAAGTCAGTTTTACAAAGATTGCCAAGACTCCCAAGGCAGAAAGGTTAGAATTGGTTCATACTGATATATGGGGACCATCCCCAGTTTCATCTCTTGCAGGCTCACTATATTATGTCACCTTCATCGATGATTCAACAAGGAAGGTATGGGTTTATTTTCTGAAGAAGAAATCAGAAGTCTTTGA